ATATATATAGATAGGTAGATAATATGATATTATTGTTGACTAATTGCGCTTATTAATACCAATTTAGTGGGTGTATGATTTTATTGGCCAAACTTGTTCACATAAATCTTTCCATGGAAGGAAAAAAAAGGAGGAAAAAAAAAAGGCTTTCTCTAATTATTTTTTTCCTGTTTCCTTTTTACTATTTATTGTGTGATTTTTCAAATCTTTAAAAGATAAGTAAATGATAAAAAATGAAATAAAAATTTATTAGAGAAAATAATTAAAAACAATATCAATTCAAACCGTTTCATCAATTAATAAAGTTATATCTTGTAATATTAATAACAACACACGGCACATATTGCTCTTTATAAAAGATTATTTAAAAAATTATATGCTATTACATTTAAATCAATAACACTTTTTTACCTTTTATTTTCGAAGTAATAAAATAAGCAACAACACGTTATAGATCACAAATTAAAAGATAATTTAAGTGTACTTTGAAATAGTGGAGTTTAAACTTAAAAATCAGGCATAGGTGAATGGATATAAAGTCTAATTTAGATTTCCTTTATATATATAAAATTTAAGTCAAAATTGAGCTACCATTATAAAAAATTACAGAAGAAAAAATCCTTAGGCATTAACTTCTTTTTTTTTTTTTGGTTTAAACGATACTTCATACAGGATTACCACTAGCTCCATTATTTGTTTCATCTATTTGTATCCTTTTAATATATAATATGGTAAATCACTATCGGATCAATTCACGAACAAATTAACTATCAATTCATAATTGGTTTATATATTTGTAATTATGATGTGAATAAATTATTATTTTTTAATTGGAGAAAGGGAAATTAAATTTGAGAGAGGAATATACATGCAGTTATCATTAAATTAAATGTTTAGGTACATAAATTAATTAAAATAAATATATAATTATTAAAAAATGATTTCACCAAAAATGTCTCTTTAAATTGGGAAATATATATACCTATTATTTATTGAGTCAAATTTTAGGTCCAAATCCAAACTCATCTTGCTTCTTAGATAACCAAGATAAAAGATGCCTCATACGTGTACACACTACAATTGAGATTTACAAGTCCAACCAAAAAGATTAAGTTGAATAATTTGATGCATGCAAAGATAATTATATTTTTTTGAGTTATTGAAAAAAAAATTAAAAGAAGGCAGTAATATCTAGAATTAAAAAAAAAACTGATTTAATTTTCATATGGATAAATTATATAAAATGACAAAACCAAAATTAATATTCCTGCAAAAAATTAAAGGAGAGAGAGAAGAAGAGATAGAAAGTAACAAACAGATTATCCAGGTGAAGCAGCTTGCTTTCATCTCCCCTTATGTAGTCTAGCTGCTTTATCTTCTGTAACTTCCACTGCATTCATTTGATATTGCATTCTCTCAATAATCAAAATAAAAACTTCAAGCAAAATTAATCAAACTCTCTTAATAACTTATAATTAATTAATTTTTTTTTAAAAAAGAAGAAGATAAAATTACCTCGAGACACCTTACATGTCTGTTCCACCATCCATTTTGAAGTATATCCATCAAACCCATTAGCACCATCGAAAGTAACAAGTAAAAGAATTTATAATAAAATAGAGAGCATTAAAAAAAATAAAACGTTAATGGTAAATTTCATACTGATATCTCTTATCTGGTGCTAGCTTGACATAGCGTTCAAGCACATCTTCAATCCTATTACAAATGACACAAACAATAAAATTAGTAAGGGCTTCCTTCAAATTATGCAAAGTTGATTAAACAACAAGTGATTAATTAACATAGTAAAATTTATGACCTTTCCCGGCTGCAAAATTTGCTAACGCGGCCTGAGGGGGAAAAGGCAACGAGTGCAACATCAACGTCGCAGAAAACAGAGATTTCGTTAGCTTTTCTAAGCAGGCTGCTCCTACGTTTAGAGAATGTCACTTGACATCTTGTTACATCCTCTATCCTTTTCATCTCTGGCTTATTGTCCATGGGGAGAAAACAGGAGCAAATTGAGAAGCAAAGGCAGTGGATTTTTCTTTCTTACTTTGCAAAACCTTTTGAATCTACAAGCTTTACTCCACTAATTGGGAACTAAGGAACAAAGCCCAGGCTGGCTACCTGTCTGTGCTTGCCCTGCATGTCTAGCAACTTAAAGACACTTTAAAGGCCACAAAATAAAGTATTTGTTAGTAATTGCCAAAATTAATAAAGAAAAAAGGTTGTGGCACTTGAATGACAAATTGACAATATGCATTGATTTTCGCCATTCATATGATGACAAATCAGGCCCCAGAAAGGTTCAATTAGACAATTTGTAAAGTTTGCATGGGTAATTTAGGGATTTTGAAGAGATGTTTTGATTTTTTTTCAATAGGTGAGTATTTATTGCTACTGTTGTTTAACGTTCACTTTCTGTTGCTGACGGATGTCAGAGTAACCCCATATATCAAAAGTTGTGGTGACGAGGCAGATTCCCCACAGTTTGGAGTTAATTCTGAAGATTCCAGATAATCTCTAACGCGGGGGTCAACTCTTCTTTTGCTTGGTGAAGCTTGTAACATGTACTTCTCCGTAATGCCTGAAATTTCTGCTATGCTCACTTGTACCTTTGAAAGATGGTCCTCCTTCGGTGGAAAGCTTTCTAATCACAGTGGGATTTCAAGTTAAAATCTTTATCCTTCAAAATAAAAATTAAAAAAACAAAGAGAGAGATAGAGGGGAAAGGATCCTATCGTTATAGTAAGTAATATTATAAATTAAAAGCAAATATATTATATGAAAAAAGTTTAATCTTGGAAAGAATACTTCAACTATTAAAATGTGATATTTTAATTTAAAATGTGATATTTTAATTTAAAATGTTGATATTGGATGTAAAAAAATTATCTTTTTTTATATAACACAATATTTAAGACAACTTTAGATGTATGTTAAATTAAGATCTTCGACTGCAATAATTGAGTATCCACACCAATAATAATAAAAGATGAATTTCGAAAAAAACGACAAACACATTAGATTACAATTTAATTGTAATTTGTCGCATGCATATTAACATAATTTATTGTTCATTTAATATTAAAACGACAAATAAATCCTTTTATATAGTTTATTATAATGACGTCAATTTTTAAAATAATATAAAGTTAAAATAATGAAATATGAATATCAGTGTTATTATCAATTTTGTAAAAAACTTTGTCAAGGTGTTTTTTTTGTCTAATTGCTAGTAATAGAAGGGGAAAATTCAAATTTGAAATTTAATATTAAATAAAATAATTATACTAGGCGTTTTTGTTAATTTTTTTTTAAATTGATTTCTATTCATAGCTCTCGATTTTGATATTATATAATTCGAAAATATGAACATCAACAACATGTGATGTGCCATGACGCAAGTGTGGACGTAGGATGAGAAACTGACACTCATTTTCACGTGGCACTTACTGTATTAACGAAGATGCGCCACATGGCAAAGTGTGAAATCTCACGCATTGCCGCATAGCACGCTCACATCAGCCCAATACCCTCGTGTCGTGAAACGTGCTTAATTAAGAAACTGGTGAAATCATCACACTTCGGAAAAGTCTTTTGAAAGTGTATACGCATATGCGTGTGTATATATATATATTTAAAATTAATAGTAAGTTAAGTAAATATATTGATTAGCATTTAAAGTATCGATTTAAATATTTTTTATTTGAATTTTGAGCTAACAGAGGTGAGGACCTATGAAATTAAAGAGGATTGTATATCTTGTGATATTATGTATGCAAAAGAAATTTTAGTAGAGTAATGGGTACTATTTTAGAACAATTTGTACATGCTTCAAATAAAGGTGACGCAACACTGACCAATTTCTAGCTTATTAGTTTTCAAGGCCAATGACGATCCAAAGAATAGAACTATTTGCAAACATATTTAGGCGATGTTACTCCTACAAAATTTCGAAATACAAGAGAATGAGGTTCAGATGGTAAAATCGGACGTTGGAGTAAGCGCTGACAATTATATCGCCCGTCTGATAAGCTCCATTCCATCAGCGTATCATAAAACCACGAACCGTATCGTATACCAACTTTAATCGTTTTGATGAGTTGAATTGATCAAGAAAAAGGAAGCGTTTGCCTCTCCTATTTACCGTTGGATATGAGTCTGATAAAGATTCTTCGCGCGTCCATCCATTTCAATCAGCTGTCAGTGTCATCAAAAAAACGAACCGTAATTCTCCAACCGCAACCAAAGCCGTTTGTTCCTTCCTTCTCCTGGTTCCCGCCAAAAAATAACAGAAATCAATGCTCATAACAAATCCACCCCAAAACCGTCAGGCTCTTCATTTCCCGATACCAGCAGCCTCCCCCAACCACCTCCCAATATATACCTCTCCAAACTCACTCCTTCCCTCATTGTTCATCTCTTTTTTTTTTCTTCTCTGAAATGGCGATTATTTCTCTGAATATCATGATCTTCCTGGCTCTCTCTTTCCTCACCATCTCCCACTCCACTCTCGACCCAACTCTGACCTCCGCCACCTCTCCACCATCACCACTCTTTGAAACCTCACCAACGCCGCAACCACCTGTAGACCTCCCAGACCACCCAATCTTCTCCCATACTTCCCTCCTAGCTCCAATCCTCTCTCACCTCGGCTTCAACGAGCTAGCCACCGCCGCGCCTTCTCTGTCCAGTGACTCCACCACCGCCACCGCTTTGTCCGGTCCTTACACTATCTTTGCTCCCTCCGATTCCTCAGTCCGAACATGCATTTCTTGCTCCACCTCTTCCCTCCTCCGTGAACACATGGTTTACGGCCTCTTCACCATCGATTACCTCAGTAAACTCACCTTCGGTACCAAAATAGAAACTCTCAGCCCCGGCCGTTGCATAACCGTAACCGCCACGTTAGACAACCACCAAAATACCAGCATTCACAAAATCTTCATCGGCGGAGTTGAAATCACTCATCCAGATCTCTTCAACAACGGCCTAATCATAATCCACGGCCTCCAAGGCTACATCTCACCTCTCTCGCCTTTCTCTTGTGACGTTGAACGGATGACGTCACTGTCTTTCCCGTTCCACTACGATCGTAACCACAATAACCAACTTCCTCAACAGCAAAATGTCGCTCTGATGCGTTTCATGCTTCGAGACGCCATCCTACGGCTGAGAAACAACGGCTTCTCCATTCTCTCACTCGCTATGAAAATCAAGTACGCCGAACTGGTTTCTCTCAACAATGCCACGATCTTCGCTCTTGATGACGTGTCAATCTTCTCCGGTTCGTACTCTTACATCAACAACATAAGGTACCATATCGTGCCGAACCAGCTTTTGACTATTGCGGATCTGGAGAGACTTCCAGTTTTGACGACGTTGACGACGTTGGATAGAGGGCAGACTTTGGTGGTGACGACGGCGGGAGGAGGGGTTATGAGGGGTCAAACGAGGATTAACTATGTGAGGATTAAGGTTGCTGATGTGGTGAGGAATTTGAATATTATAGTGCATAGCATTTACTTGCCGTTTCCTCATGTTCATCCTACGGCGGCGGTGAATGATGCTATTTTAGGTGGTGGACATGAGACGACGAAGGCCGGAATAGATGGGGCTTGTGAAGCCTTGAATGAGCATGGTGGCTGTGAATTGAGCCAGGTGAATCACGTCACGACTGATCAGGTCAAGCCGCCTATGCCGGAGATTGAAGATCACCACGGTCTTTGAAGGATTTGATAACGTGTTTCTCTGATGTGTGTAAAACGAAGTGCAGGTTTGCTTTCTGTTTCCTAGCTTTGATTCACCGTTAATCTCTGTTTAGTCAAATGAGTCAAAGTTTGTTAAGTCTTTTTCATTTTTGTGGCTAAAAATTTCGTTAAAAAGAGTTTGTTAAGTGACTGTTTGGATGTTGAGAGGTTGCATTGTTGCAGTGTCTAAAGGGGATAAAGAAAAAATTTAGTGGTGTAAATGAGAGAGGAATCAATCAGTCTCTGCACGGACTGTTGCATTTACGTAAATGTGTGCTCATTGAGTTACCTAGCTTAATTTGTTGGGATTATTCGCATGGCCATAATCAATCTTAGGGATACTGGAATCGTTTGCCAAAATTGGAAGGCTCTAATTACAATGGCATATAGAGCTATTCCAACTATTAAATTTTACAATAACAAAGGGAATAAAATGATTATCCCAATTATATCCCTAAACTCATTTGAGGAAGGTTTGCCCGGTCAACTTGTCAGTGTATTTCTTCAAATTTAAAGAGAAAGCTCCTTCGACGGGCCAGCTTCTTTGCTTGATGGCTACCAATCGAGCAACTCTTTGTTGAGTTGTGGCTGGGTTCATACCTTGCGGGCCAGGCTTCTTAAGGTTCTTCGGTTTTCATTGGTCCAGGTTACTCTTTTAGTTTTTAATCTCTGGTGACCTAGGGCAAGGCCGACATACTACTTGTGGCCCATTTTCCAGTTTTACGAGGCCTTGGCAAGTTTGCCCCAATGAAGGACGAAGCGTGAAATGAAACCTCGGGCTAAGAATGTTATTCGGTACGTAGAATAGTGGACAGATTTGGACAATCAGAATTTTATCTCCTGTTTGGTACGCAATTAAAATAGAGAATTGGATTACAAAGATGATTAGTTATCGTCTTAGTACAGGATAAGGGGAATTATGGGATCAAATGGTAAATGACTAAATGTTTTTATATATTTTTTATTTTACTCTTAAAACTTACATTTAAAATTAACTTAAGTCAATATACTTTAAGGAAGGGTAATTTTGATCAATGAAAAAAATGATCCTACCCTACCCTCAATTTTGCATGCATCAAATATGATATATGATAAAAATTATATTATCTTTTTTTTAATACCAAACATAGAATAAGATAATATTATCCAATTCAATTCATTTTTTATTATTTATCCTATTCTTTCCATAATTTTATATGCCAAACGAATTCAACATGTAGGGTTAGTAGTAAATTTGGTACTCAT